CCTCTTATTTTCAAAAATAATTATTTTTCGAAAAATTTAATTCTATTAAAACAAATACACGTAAACAAATGCCAAAAAAATATTTCGAAAAACTTTTTTAATTGCAATCTAATATTTTGTCTTGTTTTGTCTCGTTTATACATTTCCATGAATTTCAGTAGTTTACAAATAAAAAAAATAATGCTCAATAGTATAACTAAAGTTTTCTAGCGGATTTTGCATTGCTTGAAAACACAATTGAAATTTAGTTTGAAAATGGTAAAAAATTATAATATTTTATTACTAGTATTTTACAGTTTAATTTAATTAATTATTGCAAAATATTTGGAACAATTCGGGATTTTTCAACTTAGATTACAAAAAACTTTATGAATAGATTTTAAAGAAACTCAATAATATTTTTTAAAATCATCTGTTTTATTTAACATCATATTTTTTATTTAAAAAAATTGTCTCTATTTAAAATAATTGATTGTTATTTAAATTGTTTGCGTTTTTGCATTTCAAAGTGCCATTAGAAAAGAGTAGCTTTACTTTTAGCGCACAAAATTACAGTAAACTCGTGTTTGCTCACCAATTTCGCCACAAATTACATTTTTCTTATTATTGTTGTTTGTTTTTACTGCTTACACATAATACGTTTTCCGCTACTATTATTTTGTTTATTAAATTTTTTATTTTAGTTTTTAGTTTTTATTTTGTTTTGAATGCGTCATTAATTCAGTTTAAATTTTTTCAGTTACTCACTAAAAACGGTAAAGTCTTAATAATACTTAAGAATAAAAGGGGAGCGGAGGCAAAACGCTAATGCTTAACAAAGAGAGTATGCTTAAAGCTAGAGCAAAGTAACTGAAGAGTGCTAAAAATAGAAACAATTTATTTCCTTCGCATTTTTGCATGTATATGCAATTTATTATGGACTAAATGCTACAGCAATTATCTTACACACATAAATCTAGTCTATGCACTTATTCCCCTTTTTTAACTACTAAAACTACATTTTCAGTTAACACCGCATTTAAGCCATTTTGTTTTCATTTGCTTCTGCCATGTTTTTTCTTTCAGCACTAGTTTTCTACTGTGTTACTTTATTATTTCTTTTATTTAATTTTTTTTTTATTTTTTGGCTATGCACTACTTATTTTTGCTTTTCTGCATTGTGTGTAAAAAATTCTACAATTTCATTTTTCCACTTTTTTAAACATCTTTATTGTTTTTTGTTTTATGTGTTTTTCTTTCTTAGCAAAAACTGCTTTATTCGCTACAAAATTGAGTCCTTAAGTAACACATACATTCAACGCGCATGCGCCACCTGCCGTTAGCATGCTGTATGCGCTTTGGCTTTACAACATTTTCGAGCATACTATACCAATACTTCATTTTCGTGTTTTTTTTTTGGACTCTTTCCAAATCGCTCTTGGTCGCTCTCGCGTTCGCTCACATTTTTTATGCACATACCCTCTAACTGCTGGTTCATATTATAATAAACTCTCATTTTCAAATTAAAAAATACTTCTTTTTAATTTTTATTTTCACATTTTTGTTTTCTTAAATGCAATTTAGTCCTTATTTCCCCGCCCTTGACTTGACTTAAATTAATATTAACGTTAGTTTACGCCATTTTTGTTTTGCTTCCCTAAAAGAATGAACGCTCAAAACAGCCAATGCCGATATACCTGACCGCGCTTGCGGTAACGCGTTCTCTGCACTTCCTTTCTGTATACATTTGCGTAACGTAACGTGACGTGTGTTAACGTAACGTAACATGATGTACGTAACATAACATAATGTACGTAATGTAACGCCTGCAAATGTTGCAAACAATTGTGTGTGCCAATATGTTGTTTGCCTTCGCTTCAACAATTCTTCATCATCAACCGCTGGTCTCATCATCTTTTCAACTTATTCATTTATATAAAGTTTCTTATGTTTTTTTATTTTTGTTTTTGTCTTGCAAAAGAAATCATTTCATACAAATGTATTTAACAAGTTTTCATACACATTAAATGTGTTCACGTGTGTGTGTATATGTAATTATGCAGTTGGAGACGGAAAGTACAATGTATCTTCGTTTTCGTGTATTAGTATGTATGTATTAGTGTGGCTTGCATTCTTTACGCTTGCTTGTCCGACAATTTGGTACTTTTTATGTCCTCATTGCCACTTATTTATGTAAATACTTGTCGCTTTGCTGCTGCATTTCGCAGTTGCATTACAAACTATTATGTATATGTGTTTAAATTTCTCCTTCAAAAAGTAACAAATAAAAATATAACGGTTAAATGTCATTTATAAAATGAAAAACTCAAAGAAATTCAACAATCTTGTGTAAAATTTCCAGTAAACTCTGCTTCGCTGCTTTCTCAGCTACTTCCTCTTCTTTTACAACAACATCTCAACGTATGCTTCCTTCGTTTTCATTTCAACATCTTCTTTGTTACTTCTCTCATACGGTTATTCTTGTTTTCTAGTTTAAGTATTAAATAAATAAATTGGTTTCACTAAACCCCCACTACACCGTTAGCTTATCAACTTTTTCTACTTTTACATATGCTTCGTCAACCACTTATGCGCTCATTTCATCGTCGTTTCATTAGCTCATTCAAAATGTAAATACTTTAATGTACTCTATTACATAAATACATTCAAAATTCCTTGCATGTTTTTAGCGGGCTTTCAATCATATTTCTCTTACTTTTACATTTTTTCGTTTATCTTATTTCTTTTATGTTTCAATTTTATTTCTTATTATTTTATTTTAGTTAATTTCCACCGGCCAGCACAGTGTGTTTGACTAACGCTTCTTCTTCGTTTATTTAAATATTCAAAAATACAATCATATTGCCTGCTCATAAGATTCTCGTCTCGTCCACTAGCCAGTGCTGGTTCGTGTGCCGCCATTTTGTGTACAGTTTATGACTTTATTACGCTATTAATTATTATTATTATGCACCCGCTGCTTCAAGCCTTTGTTGCTGTTGCTAGTTATAAGCTTGCTCATTACAAATATCGCTTTGCTTTTTTCACTTTCATTTCTGTTAGCGTTTCTTATTACAAATTACAAATGTACATATGTATATAGTATATGTGTTTAGCAATTTTTTCCCTTCTCTTTGCTTCGCTTCTTGTTTGCAGCGTTTTGTTTCGCGTTTTTTTTTTCCAATTTCTATAAGTAAGTATGTATTTATGTGTATGTTTAACTTAGTCTTTACATTTCTCTTCATTTTAATTATTCAACTTTGTTTTAAAATGTCGCCATACTTGCATTCATTATTCTCGCAAACAAATATAAAATATTATTTCGATCCTTTGTTTACTTCATTTATTACATTTTCAAGTTTTTTTTGGTTGCCTTCTCTTACATTTGCTTTGTTGTTGCAGAAAACTGCTTTAAATATTTGTAAATCATTTGCTTTCACTTGTTTTCATAGTGGCAACCCATAGTTCATTATATATTTGAATTTTCAATTTATTATTTGGTTTATATTCTATTTGTTTTTATTGTTGTTGGTTGTCGCCGATATCCTTGTTGCAGTCACAGTTGTTGTGGTTGTTGTTTAAGTTGTGGCAATATTTGTATTGTTTTGTATTTCTTCGTTTTGTCCTTCCACTTGTTTCTTATATTTTTTATTCTTGTTGTTATTATTATCGTCTATACTACTGTTGCATATTATCCTGTTGTTGTTGTTGTTGTTGTTCGCGTTTATCCGATTCCACTTCCAACTCCCATTAGAGTGTCAATCGCGGCATCATAATATTACATCTGCAAGTGGAAAATTGTAAAATTAAATACCGTTAAGTTACTGCTCATTTAATAAAAACAATTAAAATATTGTTTGCATATTCAAACAATTTGCAAAGCCAAAGGGAAAGAGAAAAGTATGTTTAAATTTATATACATCTGTATATGTGCATAAATATATAAACAAACTCCAAAACAGCATTCAGCATTTCTTACAGCGAAGTAGTTAAACATTATCAAATCAAATCAAATATAAACTATTTTTTTAATCAGAAAATTTTTAAATATTATTTCTCACTGCGCGATATTTACCTCACAGTTTTCAGTATTTATCTAAAATTAATTTTACCCATTTTAATCTAATAGAATTAAGTTTTCTAATTTTCGAGTTGATATTATTTTTGATAAATTTAAAAAAAAAAGTTATTACCAAAACTGTAAAAAAATTACAATATTTTAAAAAAAAATTACAATATTTTTTTATCCCTGTTTTCCGTATAATGCCGTTGCATTAAAATAGCCACCTTGGCGTATAAGTAACATTGCTGTCTTCCTAGGCGTATGAGTAATTTTACCATTTTTTGTGTTGCTATCTACCCTGATATAACCACTGTTCGCAATCCTGTAAAATTTTTTTACACCTATTATTGTTTATTTTTATACTCTTGCAACAACATGTTGCTACAGAGCATAATAGCTTTGTTCATCTAACGGTTGTACGTATCACCTAAAACTCGACGAGATAGATATAGGGTTATATGTATATAAATGACCAGGATACCGAGATGAAATCCGGGTGACTATATATGTGAACCCTAGTATCTATAGATGACTTTTGGCCGAAAATGTCTGTCAATGTATAGGATATACAATTGAAATTCAGAGAGAATACTTTCCTGACAATAGTAACTCTGTGTATCAAAAATGGTTTGAATCGGGTCAATACTGAATTGAGCCCCCATATACCTAATATAAAGATTTTAGAACTTCCAGGTGACTTTATACTACAAATATTGGCAAATATTTGAGTTAACTCAGTGAAAAATACAGAGCGTGTTTTTCTCTTAATAGTATGTCTTTGTGGTTAAAATAGCTAAAATCCGTCTGGTTTTACTTCATTTGATTGGTAATTGTTTGTGAGGTAGCTTAATGAAACCCAGGGAATATTTTTTTTAGTAAGTGGCATGATAATAGTTAATAGAAAAAATCGGGTCGATGTTACCACAACTCCCATATAATACATATGGGATCCTGTGGTTGACGTTTTACATCATTATTTCCCTGTTATTGATCCTTGCAAGCTCTTCCTTATTATTCCCTTATATAATATTATTAGGAATTAAATAAACAATAAACAAGGTTTATTTTTTTAATGATACATATGTCTAGAATATTTTCCCAAATTTTCAAGGCAGCCTTTCAATAATTTTAAGGACCTTAAAACAAAGGGTTCCTAAACATTATTTTACCTCTCGTCCACTTAAGTATTTTCGAAACATTCAATATGAGTCCTTCATTATAACCAACTGCTCTCAGAAAATAATAGGCACAAACTTAACATCCACTCAAATCTTGTAATGTAGTTCAAAACTTAGAAATTTTTCGGTTGTCGAAAAAAAAGATGGAAATTTCCTACACTCTTCGTAAGGCCTAGTGTTTATTAATAAGAACAAATACTTAAAATCTGCCTTCATTAAAACATAATCGATTTAATCAATTTTTTTTTCGCTTAAAGTAAAATTAAGGGTCCTAAACTGTAAAATAGTGGAAAAAATTTCACTGTTAAAAATACTGCTGTGTCGAAGCGTTTGGACCAGTCAGTTTCAGCATTTTACACTTGAAATACAAGTACTAGGAAACTGTGTGCGGGTTTTTGTTTTAATATTTCAAACAAAAATTTAGCATATTTCATCAGTAGAAGTTTGATGTCGAAAATATTCTCAAAGTCAGACTTTTCTGGGAAACTCTAGATTGCTCTAAGCTCAATCATTTCATGGGGCATTACCGTAACTATTCATACTGCTGAAAAATCTTTTAGTAAAATACATAGGTAAATGATTTTACTATGAACAGTTTTCAGAAAATCAAAGAAAATTAAAACTAAAATAATATATAGATACATATATAGCACTAAAATTATGATGCCTTAAACCACGTATTACGCACAAGACGTGCGTCAAGACATATGTATATTGATATAGAAAGTATGTAGACATACATATGTAAGTCTAATATGTACAAAGCACTAATCTGGACTACATAAAGTCATATTTATATCTGAAACGGCAAATGAGATGAACGCTCGTGCCACCAAGGACACACTGGTAACTGTCGTTATCGTCGTTAGGTGTGATGCCATCGTAATGGTGATGTGCCGAAAAGGTGTGAAGGACACGCAGGATAATATGCATAATGATAGTAATGACCGTCAAACGCTACCATGCAACATAACCTCCATAGAACTTAACTAACAAGCACAGCAAAAAATACAACAACAGAAAAAAAAATACCAATGGTGATGCGATCTTTACAAACTGAGCTGAGGCAGGTGATGGAATGCTCGAAATGAATCAGTGGCGTAGACGAATAAAATATGATATGGTATATGAATAGAAAACTGAGTGCTCGGTTGAAGATTGAGGGCATGTGAATGCAAGTACTCGTTCGTGTTTGTATATGTAATATATGTATGTATGTAAAGTATGAAGCTATGCACAATATTTCTGAGCAGATAAGCACAAACAGACAAGCAAAGTAGGCAAGCACAAACAGGCGGCAGGCAGCAATAAAACACAGCACAGCGCATAGGAAAAAATAGATGACGACAAAGAGCATATAGTAAAGAGTAAACGACAAAAAAAAATAAAAAATAAAATAAAAAATATGTGGCGAGGAATTAAGGCGTATGAGTGTGTGTGTATGCAGTTTTGAAGGTAGCTTTGGCAGGCAGGTGAGAACAAGGACCATATTTATAATGCGAGGCAAATATGCCTTTGAAATAAAATAATAAAAGTAATAATAATGAAAAATCGCTGAGAATATGTGTCAGAAATTAATTAAACGAAAATTAGCGCGATGCGTGTTTGTGAAATAAGGCAAAGCAATAATGTGTGTAAGGGTGTGTGTGGACATGGATATTTTAATAAAGCTAGGCTTTGGATTAACGTTGGCAGAAACGCAAACATTTTATGAAAATTAAACCATATGAAAGTTGAAATGAAAAAATATAAAAATATATGAAAACGCTATAAATATATTATATTTGTATGTATATATGTACATATATACGAGAGTAACCCAATAATTATTTATCCTACAAAAGAAAAACGAAAATTAAAAAAATAGTGATTTATTTTTTAACACGGTCCACTTTTAGCTCAATAAATTTGTTTCAGTAATACTCCAACTTCTTTAATCCGACCGAAAAACTCATTTGTGCGGGCCTGGTAAATAGGCTTTCATGGGAGCCTCTACATTCGTTTAAATTTCTGCCTTGCGACCGATTCTTATAATTGAAACCCAAAAAATAAAATCATACTAAACTAGAGAATACGGTGAACGCGGCAGCAGTTCGCAGCCTAGTTCGATCAATCTTGCCGTGGCGACACCGGTGTGGGCCGTGGGTAAAAAAATTGTTTCTTTTTGAAATTATTCCATATTTTCTGTGACCCTTCTCGGGTAGTCGAAGTAAATCACACCTTGTGAATCCCAGAAAACGACGACCATCTTCTTTCGTATTGATAATACAGTCTTTTCTTTCGTCAAAGCAGGTTCAAAGGTTGTGGTTTACTGTTAAGATTGTTTTTTGAACTTTGGTGTGGATTTATATTAAGTCGATGGTTTCGAAAGCCACACAGATATTTGTTTATATTAGCCGTCAACCATAATGTACATGATAGTAAATTTCTCTAGCGTGAGTGGATCTAAAGAGTGGTGAGACCTTAGTGACTAAGGCGTTACCCTATACATACGATATACATATGTATCTCTTGTAGTATTGATGATCTTTCTCAATATTATAAGCAAAATCATAATTTAGCATTAGGTTAGGATGACAAGTCAACAGGAAATGGGAAGGTAAAGTACGCTATCAGCTAGCTGACATGCAACAAATCACAACACACTATACAGTTTGTTTTTGGCCAATTAAAATTGTTGTTTTTTGGTCTCACGCAATAAGCTAACTAAGTGACGCCAACAATGCAAATTGTTAAAGTAAACTAAAAATTACAAAAAAAAAAAATAAAAATAAAATAAAATTGAAAAATAATATATGTACTTTCACTATTAAGTGCAAAGTATTCGTTAAACGCGTTTTAATTAATTTAATAGTAACTAAAAAAAAAATTAAGAAATAATGAAAAGTTAAATTTTTTTTTAATTTTAGGCACTTTTAAAAATTTGCTCGAAATGTTTTTAGTTTTTGTTTGGTTTGTAAGTCACACGCACTCACCTCGCGATGACCTATTTGGGAGCGGCTGGATGTGGATACTGTGTATATGCCTCATCGGGTGATGCAGCTGTGCTAGCCTGTTCGGAATCTGTCATTGGCATTGTTGGAATAATTGTTGGTTGTGCATAATATGGATAAGTTGGACTAATATACTGTAATGATGGAGAGAAATTCTATAAAAAAATCAAATAAAGAAAGAAAAACAAATTTCATATTTAACGGTTAATATTCACTTATTAATGGCCAGAACGAAGATGATGATGATCATGATCATGATGATGATGATGATAAAGATGCATAGAAATTTTTGATTTAGAATTTCATTTGCAATTATTTTATATACAAAATTTGTGTATGGAAATGGAGAGAGGACAAGGTGGATGATGTAATTTTTGCTATTTCATGTTTATATATTTTAGATTAAGTACTATAAGTGATAAAATAAATTGTTTCTTCATTTCAAAAAAATTAAAAGATAATGACAAGAAACTTTCAAATTTCACTTTCAGCAAAAGTTTCTTACAAAAATTAAAATAAAAATTTACAAAAACATTAAATTACAATCTCATAAAACTCTTGTGCTGTTATACGAAATTGTGTTGTTGTAATTGAACTTGAACCAAACGTGTTATTTACACACACAGATACGGTAGAATGTTTGGTAAACTTTGTGACACAACAAAAAAAATCGATTTGTGCTTCGACAAAGAATTTGATTGCGAAAATGCTCAGCAATTGCTGTAATGCCATAAGTCACTTGTGCTCAGTATGAATGTGGATTTTTTATTAACTTTTCTATATGTAAATATATGTATGCGAGTGTCTGACTTAACGGTTCGTAACGTGCATATTTCAAAAATGAGTGTACTTTCTGTAAAATGTTAGTCTACTCGAGATTTCTACTCACTCAAATTCACTAATATTCATAAATGTTAAATTATAGTTTATACTTACGGAATTGCCAATTTGCAATGTGGCTAATTGTGGCACCATTGGTCCATATGGCACAGACGGATCACCACTGACCATCATCGAGATGCCGCGTGGTTGCACCTGATTAACAGCGTCTGGTTTGTAGGATGCGACACCCAATTGTGGGGCAGCAGCCATTTGTATGTACTGTGTGAGGAAGACATTACAACATGTTAGAGATTTTTAACAATTGAACGTAAACATTTTTATTATGTGAAGAGAATAAAAAAATTGTCATAAAGTCAGAGAATAACTCTGCGGATCCTTCTCTGCAGATATACCGGCGAGGGAGTTGTGGGTGAGAAGAAGCCGTTGGAGGAGAGGGGCAGTGAGCTTCTTTACGGATGCGTCAAAGCTTGAGGGGAAGGTTGATGGTGGGGCTTATTGTCACAGGCTGATACAGTATCAATTTCAGCTTCAGACTTTCTGACTTAAGGACTAAGATAGCAGCAGATTTACTGCTCCGGAGTGCAGCCTCTTTCAGAGAAGTGACCATCCACACTTAGATAGCTGGGCGGCGATAAAATCTGTGAACTCATTAACAGTGCGTCCTGGGCTGGTCAAAGAGTGCCTAACCTCGCTATCAATAGCATCGAGTGTTTTTGCGATAAGATTGGTTTGGGTACCGAGCCAGAGGAATGGGAGCGGGTCGCTGCTTCTATATACTTTTATGTTCTACTATTTTGGCCTAAGATCGATCGCACGAGATCTAGTGATTTCTTTGCCCTCAGTAGGGCTAGCCTCTCCCTAGTTGTGTGGACTTGGCGGCCATGCTGTAAGGCTGGGAATTTTATCAGACGCCATATGGAAGAAGATGAGGTGGAAGTAAGATAAGATAAGATAATGAATGAGGATTGCACCGCGACCTAGGGTCTATTGTGCCCTCTACTAACTCACAGAACTCAACACTTCCTTCTTGACTGTAACGCGTTACTGAGGTTAAGACTTAAGCACTTGGGAGCGCATACTTCAGATATCAAACCGAACCAACGGGATTGGAAATTAAACGCCTATGCAAATTTTTATTGGTTTTGCTAAATTATTAGTTCCAACACAGAAGCTCTTAATTTCTATGGCTTCACAAAGAACTACAGATATAGGTCCTTGTGTGCTCTCTTTAGATCAGACTAACCCAAGAACATAGTGGGTCGAACTAAAAATAATGATTTTCCTTTCCCTCAGAATAAATTGTCAAAGTTAGGAACTTTTTAGTGTTTTAAATTGCACTAACTCTTTTAATAGCATGGTGAATTATTTTATTATTTGATTGATAAAAAATGATTTAGACTAATCACTATTGCAGACCCTTTCAAAATTAGTATTAAATTATTAAAATAACTGATGACGTTCGTCACTTTACAGAATACTCATCGAAGCAGTTAACTATTAAGAGGCAGCCAATATCATACAGAAAACGAAAATTCAAAGCTTCATAAACTTAGTAAATTTTAAAACAACATTTCGAACGTTAATCTCAAGGTTCACTCGAAAATCAGAGTACCTGATCTTGCTACGCTAAACCTAGGTACTAAATGTCGCAAGTCCCTACACGGCGATCTTTGCGATAAAACTGACTTTTTGGACAAAATTGTAACACAAAAAACTGTCTTCCTTAATTATGTACGGTCCCCTAAAGTACGCTATCCTGTAAATTTGATTCACCCAAGAAAGAGGAAAGCTGAGGGATAGAGGGATTATCTGAATCTATATCAGATAGCATGTGTTAGGAAGCATATTACGTCATTATTGTGCTTTGAATTGAATGCTATTTGTAGGGAGTTGTTGTCTTTGTGTTCTGTGTTCCTAGAAAAAGGCAAAAACCTTTTTGTATTTGTGCGTTTCCTGCTTTTTTACATCCTCTATTGTAGCGCCCTGCCAGGCTTGAGAATGGATTAATAGTTTCTTTGAGTTTTAAATTAAATTTTTTTTAAAACACGAACCAGTTGTATAAATAGGTACTTATGTATAAATTTTAATCATGCCACACACTTATAAATTCCGTCGTGGTCAGAGAAGTGTTAAAACCTTATACTAAATACTACAATGAAATATCATTTGTGTTGTATTTCACTTACTTGATCCTCAACTTGTGGTATTTGCTGTGTCATCATATAACCGGGTATCCATTGCGATCCAGTCGTCATTGGATAACTGCTAACCGGTGGTGCACTAAAACGTGAATACGGCACGCCAATTGGTGTGCCAACATTAACACTAACACCATTCTGTTGCATAGTCGGATCATAGGTGACCGGCATCCCTTCGGTGGGATCACGCCACGTTCGCGCATTTGGATCAGGATTTTTATAGAGATTCTTCTTTTTTGGACCACCATCGGCGAATTTAACCAAAAGTGGATCTTTGGCACCCTGTATTGTATTACCATTGAATATCTGTATGATTTGCTCACACTTCTCACGACTCTCCATGCGTGCAAAGCCAACACCTACATAATATTATATGAGATCATATGGAATTAATTTGGGTTATGATGTATGCTGTCAAGTGAGTTTACCTTTTGAGTTCATCTGCTGATCGCGCAATATGCGAGTCGACACAACTTGCCCATATTTCGAGAGCATATTCTCCAAGTCCGTCTCTTTGAAATGTGGTGGCAAATTTGCAATGTACAAATTTGTTGGATCCTGTTCTTGTTGCTGTTTCGTGAATTGCCATCATTAACGGTATAATCGCGTGTTGACAGGTGTGTTGTATGTGCGTGTGTATTTGTGGGCGTGGTCATATATATAATTGTTAAAATGTGATGAGTAAACGATATTTCGTTGAATTTGTTTGATTTTTTTTTAATTTGTTTTTATTTTTGTTGCATTTACAGTGCGACAGTAAAGTAAAACGTACAAAGCATATCGAGCGCAATGTATTTGTGTTTGTATATTGCAAGTGTGGTTATATTTTTTCATGTTGGTAATGGCATTAGTTGAGTGTTGTTGTTTCATTATAAAAAAGTGTAGTGTTTTGATGCATTTTTGTGTTGTTGTTGTGGTTTTTTGTAGTTGTTATTATTTTCGAACGCCGCAGTTTTCGTAAACGTTGCATTACACGAGCATTAGATGAAGAAATATTTGGAAATAGAACAGTGATTGGTTAGTTAAATTTCATTGTTGGGCTAATATTTTTGGAAAAGCGTGTAAATGTAGTGTAAATGTAAGTATGTATGTATGTGTGTGCATATAAATATGTGTATGACAATTTGTATGCATGTAAATACCTAGTTAAATATACGTTTGTATGTATGTATATGCTTATGTATATGTACTGTCTCTTATACACATCTAGATGTGTATAAGAGACAGGTATGTATGTGTGTGCATATAAATATGTGTATGACAATTTGTATGCATGTAAATACCTAGTTAAATATACGTTTGTATGTATGTATATGCTTATGTATATGTATGTGTTAATTATGCCTTTGTAGTGCGGGTCTTCAATGTTACTTCATTTTGTTAGTGTACGTAAATGATATTACTTAGATAATCTATTCATATACTTACAGAGTATTCTATTTATTAATTATATATGTATTTACATATTTTATATCAAAAGTGTGTGTATGTTTCCCTTAGAAAATCATTAATATTTTTAATCACAAAAAGCATTTTTGCTTTCAATTAAATTAATTTAGAAATATAATTAATTTTATTAATTGAGAAAAAAATATTTATTCATTTAATAGTTTTGTTCATCGAAGGCACATCTTATATTATTATAAAAGTCAAAATATTTAGACATGTGCTAATTTTTTCAACAAAATATACGCCTTAGTCGGGCACAGTGTTGAATAAGGCTTTACCCGATGGTAAAAGTACCTGTTTCTATGAATGGTTGGTTGTTATGAAAAGTTCTCAACTGCTCAACTGCTAGTTTGTCGATTTTTACTATGAAAAAACATCGCTTCCTTGAACACTTATGATACATACGGAAGCATTGATAATATCAAGAGAGTATTTTGGTTAGACTAATTATGTGCGAATGAGATCATGAAAATAGGTTGTCTGATACCAAAAGTCATCCCGAAGTAGATCTGTATCAATTTAACGGATTTTTAAGGTACATAATAATTAAAATAACTAAAGCTAGTTGAAAGAGTCGTCAAACCGAACTCTGGCTCGAGGGAGTTGTGGATGCGAAGAAGCCGTTGGAGGATGGGTCAAAGCTTGGGGGAAAGGTTAGTGGAAGCGTTTACTCCAGCTCCAGATTTTCTGACGATTACAGTGTCTTCCAAGTCAAAGTTGCGGCCATTAAGGTATCAGCGGATCTAATGTTCCGGAGTGCAGCATGCTTCAGAGAAGTGATCATTCACTCAGATAGAAGAGCGGCACTACTAGCCTTGAACTGGGCTTCGCGAAAGCTTTGTCAGCGCTGCGCTACCATCGGTACACACGTTGTCGCAAAAGCCTTTTAACTCAAGATCGATCGCAAGAGATCTAATGATCTTTTTTGCCCTCAGTAATGTTGAATATTCCTAGTTGTGATGCTTTTATGGTAGCAGCCTATTGCTCTATTGGCAAATGCCGTAAGGTTCAAATTCTTACCAAACGCCATTTGTAGAAGCTGTATGGAAGAAAATAAGGTGGAAACAACTCAACACTACCTTACTTCCGCGGGCTAGTGCGTTTGGGAGCTTTTAACTTAAATGAAAGGTAATAGCGCTGAAGAGCATCCTAAGGAGAATTACTGACCTTGCTCTGTATATTTTTGAAATTTGTGTTTTGCGGTTTAGATATGCGGTATTAGATATACGCGCACACACACTTTTCATATGTCCTTACAGATTCTTAATAAGTGTTAGTTACGTAATATTAATATTATAAAAGCTTATGGTTTGCGTTTAAATCATCATTAAGGCCATTGTTTTCCAAAGTGGTAACCAATTTAGCCTTTTTCAGTGACTTAATTGGCTTTGATGAAATCTCTAAATTTTTTCAATGACTTTTAAGTTGGAACAGTGTGAGTCATGGAAGATATCCCGATTCAACCGGCTGAAGGCTGAGCATTAGAAAAGGTTGTAAAGAAAAACCATAAGCTTAAAATATTTAATTTATACCTTAGTTACTTAGTAGTTTTTAGTGACAAATATAATATGATTTGATATACGTAGATATGTATATAAAGATGTATACAAATGCATAATATAATACTTTTTATAAATTTCAATAGTTCTTGGGTTTATAAGGCCGGCGCAGTAGTAGCTTTTACTATTTGAAATGAAGTTTTATTCTCTGGACTAATCGGAAAAATATATTCTAATGACAAAAAGGGGTTATTTACGCAATTACTAAAAGTTAAATATTTTTCACTTAAATCTTATTACTACATATGTAGTCCAAATTATTAAAAAAATGCTCTAGTATGATTGATTTAATGGTTTAAGAAAAAAGTTCGATTTGTACAACTTAGTACTAGAAACTATATATTAAATGTTAATTACATTATATAATAATTTTTTTTTTCTGTGGAATGTTAAATCATAAATAGGTAGTCGAAAGATTCAAATGATTTGTGGAGTGTAAGCTATAGATTGTCCTATATTATTTTGTGTGAAATGACAACTTCTTAGAAAATGCTCTACAATTTCAGCTCTATACCAATTATATTGAACAGTTTTCAGACCCTGTCAATTTATTTATTCTATTCTATAGGCTTTTTTGAGCTCAAAAGTGACTATTTGAGTTAGAAGACTATTATTCTATTTTAGTACTATAACTAGCCTCTTCTCACATTAAGAATTGCTATTTCAGAATTGAATTTTGCTCTTTTCAGTAATCTCATCTACGAATTTGAGAGTTAGGGAATTATTTCTGAAATTTTTTTTCAAGACTGCGGCCTTTTCTAAGATCAAAAATTAGTTAGTAGTTTAAGAGTCTCTTCTAAGATTATAAATTAATATTTGAGATTTTTGCTTTTGTTCTGGGCTTTTTCCAAGATTAATATGTCCATTTGAAAGTTAGAATATTAATTCTTCAATTCCGCAGTCTCTTCGAAGGTTAGAAAAGGCTATTTGAGATTTAGAAGTTTACATCCTCAATTCTGTAGACTCTTCTAGTGTCAAAAATTATTATTCGAGAGCTAAATATGACTATTTTTGAGTTAGAAAATCATTTCCGGAATTTCCTTTCTTTAATGTCGTAGTGTTTTCTAAGATTTAAAATTGATATTTGGGATTTGGAAGATTTTTGGTTGTGTTCAGTGGTTTTTCCAAGTAAAGAAATGCCTTTTTGAGAGTGAGAATATTTTTTCAATTCCGTTGTCTCTTCTCAAATTAAATATTACTCTTTGAAATTTAGAATATTAATTCTTCAATTCCTTAGTCCCTTCTAAGTTTAGAAGTGACTATTTGACCTTTAGAAGATTACATCTTCAATTCTATAGTCTCTTTTAGTATTAAAATTGCTACTTGAGAGCTAGAACATTATGACTTTTGAGTTAAAAAATTACTATTTGAAGTTCAGAAGTTTATTTCTTTAATTCTGTATGCTTTTCTTTTATTAAAAATCAGGATTATTTAAAAAACTATTTCTTCTACTCTCCAGCCTTTTTGGAAATAAAAAAAGAGTTGAACTCTGTATTCTACTGAGGAGTTTTTCAAAGTACAAAACAGCTCAATTCTCTCAGTAGTAAGCTCAATAGAAATGAGAAAGAATCCGGGCACCCAGAGTAAACATGCACTTTAGAAAATTAGAAAGATATTTTGTATATTCTTATAGTTATATAGGGCATCGCGGTGTATGTTTTTGAGACTAATATCTTGAAAACAAATAGAAGCACTTGTTAAAGCTAAGACTAAAAACATAGCCTATCAACTAATAGTAATGTAAACTTCTCTCATATGTTCTGAAAGGAAGTTGGTTTTAGGATTTATGATTCTCTCCAATTAATTATATTTTTGATATAATTGTTATGTATTACGTTTAAGAAGATTTACACTATCCAAATTTAAATTTAGGTACGTATTATATAATACATAATTAAGAACCCTTTCGACTACATAATTTATGTAGCTAATGTTTTACATTTTAACATTCCGGTATTAGTCACAATTAAGAAAATTATTAGAACGTTACTAATTTTTTTGTTTTGCAAAATATTTAGGTACTCATCAAAATTATAACTAACTATGTAAACTCTATTTAATTCTATACAAAAAAGAGATGATTGTGTAAATGGTTTCTTTGTAATAAGAAGTATTTTGGTTGAGTTGAGATAACTACGTTCCGATATGTTCTGTTTCGCTAGTTGTATGTTTTTTGTCGTAATTTTAAGATATGTAAATGTTATTGTGATTGTACGTGAAGGATGATGTATGATTCCCCGCTTCAATACTTTTGTCTTTTTTACAATAGTTTAGGAAGTTTATTTACACACTTGGCTTTGTAGATATTTGAAATAAATATTTACATTTTTTCACATTTATATAGCAATAAAAACAACAATAAGCCTTTCCCTAACTTAAAACAATGATTTATAATAATTTTGCCTTAAATTTTGGATGGAGAGCACTTCACAACAACTTGAAGCTATGATTCCACTTATATTTAAAAAATAAGCTCTTTTATTTATCAATTGTGAATCTAGAAGTAGATATAGTATTCGCTCTATTTAATTTTTTGTTTTAATATAGACCAGTTGAGAATTACTTGCAAATATGATGACCGGCCTCACAAATACAACTCTGTGGGATTATTGCCCTATCACGCTCAATTTAATGTTGTGTGTTATGTATGATGAATAACTGAAAATTTTTTTTGAATATTTCTTAAAAAATCTACTCATAACTTACTAAATACGCTCTCTTGAAAGTCAACACTTTTACTAAATTTACATTTAAAATAAATACTAGTTATTAACTGTTTATTTTCTAGAAAATTTACGCTAAAACTGTTTATAAAAATATATAAAGAATTAACATACTAAGTTCTTATATACTTATGTAACTCAAACACTATTTGGTTCGTTTTTGGTTTCAATAAATAATGGTACTCAGTTACCTACTTTCCGGAGCACAAACTTCTAAATTAGTTTTGTTTCTTTACTGCTAAAGGAATCATTGGAGAAAGTAAATACTTCAGTTTTATATTTTGTATACAACTTTTTATAATAATAATAATGGAAGAGTATGACTTGCTTTGGAAGGTCAAATATGAAATTGAGGTGTTGAGAGAGAAAGATATGGGCTTTCCGTTATAAAATATTGAAAGCTTATAATGTATTTATAGTGGAATTAATAAAATCGACTGTTTCCTTTAAATTATATTATTACGTTCAAAATTAAGAAAGCGTTCTGTGTAAGCTTCCAATTTATTTCTTATTGAATTATTCAAAATGACGATTTATCGCTGGATACATAATATTTCGTTAAAAAAAATGAAAGTTTTGGTGAAAGCTTATCATGTACATGTTAAAGAAAGATTTCGTGAAAGCTTCCAATTTACTTCTTTTAGAATTAACAAAAATTACGATTTAACGCTTAAAACATAATATTTCGTTCAAAGAAAATGAAAGCCACGTGGAGAACTTTGGTATACAGGACAAAGAAAACTTTTGTAAAAACTTGTAATTTATTTTTAATAAAATTATTACAAATGTAAGTTCGTTCTTTAAATTATATTATTAAATAGAAATTAAATGTCAGTTTTTGTGAAAGCTTCTATCTTAGTTATTACGAAATTTTTAAAAATATTCCGTTCAAAGGTATTGAAAATTTTGGTGAAAGCTAGAAATGGATTTGTAATGAAATCAACTATTTTTTTAAGTATATTATTCCGTACTAATGTAAGAAAGCTTTGTGAATGCTTTCAATTTATTTCTTATAGAATTATTAAAGAATTACAATCAATCACTTGAAATATAATATTTCATTCAAAGAAATGAAAGATTTGGTGAAATCTTTTTGTGAACATCACAAAGAAAAGTTTTGTGAAATTATTCGAAATACATTATTTTCTATAAAGCTAATAAAAGTTTTTGTAAAAGCTCAATATGTATTAGTAGTGAAATCATTGAATATATTATTATTTCCTGTATTAATTGCTACCTTACTAACTCCTACGATTTTATGTTTCTATCGCGCTGTCTCTCTCTGTCACCTTACTATTGTATTGAACCTTCCAAAGCTTACTCAAACTACAGCTACATAAATGATATGCTATTTAAGTACGAGTGTATAGGTATATATAACATTTAAATTTTACGCTAATTAACAGTTATAATTAAAAAAATGAGAACTACTTATACAAAAAAGTAAAATAAATAAAAATAGAGTAACATACATACAAGTATAATATACATGTACCAATAATGTCTATTTGAAAATTTCACTAATGATTCAACTACATATGTTTCAAGTATGTTTTTGGTTTCTATTACTAATATTTAAGGTTGTGGGATTATGGGAACACTACAAATATGAACTAAGAATCAAGAAAGAAAATAATTAAAAAAAAAAAACAGTAGAAGATATTAAAAACTAAAGTTGAATTGAAACTCACTTTATAATTTAAAATGGAAGCATATGGCAGCACTATCTAGTGTATTTGTATTTGCTACAAACATGTACAAATTTAGCTTAAGTTACCTCGCTTGAACACGTCAATATGCGTGAAGAGCTGTGCTTTGTAGAATTTCTTCGTAAAAAATGAAATGTTTGAAAGGTTTACATGGAAAGTGATTAAAAATGTTCGCTGATTTCCAAGAATTCATACCTCTACTGTACCTTTAATATAGTGTATTTATTTTCGGACAGCTGGCTAATAGTGTCCTGGCTTGTTTGCTGAATTCAATATAATTTCACCGTTTTCATTTCAACGAATTATGAAACAATGCAGGCAGACATGCTTCGTTTCATATAAAATTTGCTGCAAATGTAATTATAATGCCGTCTAGCAACTACCTTGGCAAATGGCTAAGTTACTAACGTATGCATTTCGATACGTTGCAACAATGTGGAGAAGACCTTACACACATATAAACACATTTGCTGGAGGGAGTGCTGCAATGCAACAGCGAATAAAGCCATTTTCATTTTATGATCCATCTTGTGGGCGCATAAAAACGCTATTAAAATTAAAGACGCTGAAGCGAGCGTAACGCCAAGGAACGACGTGACAATCAATGCGAGCGCCAATTTTTGGGGTGGCAGTTCTTTGAACTCGTTACTCATTACTCGTAACACGCGTATGAGTGTGTGCGCTGTTGTTGCTTGAAGAAAGCTCACAGGCGACCAACAGGATGTGGTGCGCGCTTTTATTCTTGTTTTTATGTGTGTGGGTGTACATGTGTATGAGTATTTCCCGAAGCAATTAAGTGGCTTTGTGTGAAACGCTCCGCGATACAATGTAGTCAATCTATAAATGTGTTTGCTGCCTTATTTGTTGTTGGCACTGAAGACGATAATTGGAGCAATGAACGGTATAGTCCTTATATGGACGTTAATAGTTATAACGTCGGCCTTATGTTTGTGGGGAGTGGCGGACGTAAGTTGAATGCATTGGGGGTTTTTATGCAGCATTTAATTAGTTATACAAAGAATTTGAAAATTTTGGAAAGCAGTAATACCTTTTAAGCATTGAATCATGAAATTATATGGATAATTATTGTTGTTGTTATTATTTACAAGTTTTATTTTAAATACTGCAGGAATAATATTTTTTGATGCGATATTATAACGAGGAGAGTAGTCCTGAGTCACTGGTCCATTCCGAATGTCGTGGGAACGGATATAAGTCTGGTCGTTACGGATTCAAAATAAATTAGTTGTGTAGTAGTCTTTTTATAATATTTTTTTGTGGTAGAATACAAAAATCGAAAATTTTGGTATTAATCCAAAATGGACTAGTTGTGGGTAGTCTAAATTTTGTGCAGAAAACACAAACAATTTTAAATTTGTTGATGCTTATTTAATAGAAAACAAACGAACTTCCAGGAAATGGGCCAAAATGTACTAGTTTAAATAAATTATAACAGACTTTTTGCTTTAACCTGAAAGCAATTATAAGCAGAAAATCAGCTTTACCGCAGTCAATTTAGGTTCTAAAGCTTAGAACCCATATGTGTTAGTTATCTTAAGTGATAAGGTACTGCAGGATTACTAAAATCATATAATTCAAATTACTAAAAACACTGCAAAGAACACATAAAAATAATCAAAAAATACCCAAAAATTAGACTTATAAATAAACAACTTTTCCAAAAAAAAAAAAAGACTTATTGCTGTTTTTCATCATTAAAAAATATCGAGAGAATATCGAAACAAAAAAAATATCAATAACAAAACCAAAAGAAGGAAATATAAGTTTATATAAAAGAGAAAAAAAATATATAGAGACCAACTATATAGAAGTGGGGGTGGGGGGTGAGTATTACTTGCATGCAAACAAACGTACAATGGCCGGCCTATGAAGCACCCAGATACCCACTTTGGCCATCTGAGCTTGAACGCCCTTAGCTTGTAGACCCTTGACGGCACCCTCGGCATATGCTGGCAACTCGAAGTCGACAAAGCCATAACCTGAAACGAAAGAATATTTTGTTTTTGTTTTCGGCACGTGAGATAAGCGTGTTTATTTTTGCATAATGTTTATTGCGATTCAAACAAAGAAAGTTCCCGTTTCGAAAAAGTGTGCATTTTATGTTTAATGAGTATAAAATTTATTTTCAAACAGTTATGAGTGGGTACAAAGCATTTATGTGGAATTGAATCAAAAGTAAAAAAAAAAAATGTGGAAAAATTTCAAGTTTTTTATTTTGAAACAAAGGAAAACAAAAACAAAATTTTCATTGAGATAAAAGAAAAAAACAAACAAAAACACAAGAGATTAGCATTGTTTATAATAATTCGATAGTGGTACTATAAATTTGAGTGATCTGGTTGAAAATCGAATAAAGAAGCCTATAACAAAATACGAAATTCGAAACAGTTATATATAGAGCATGCGGTTTACGCAGAGATATTATTGATTATTTGTAAATTTTTTTAGAATTTTTATAATAATTATTTAATATACCACATAAAGAGGAATTTTTCTTTACAAATTTGTTCTAAAATAAAAAAAAAATTATATATATGTATTCTTTACATTAAAATTAAGATTTTTTCATCCGACATTTAATTACATGTCTTTACAAATATTTTTTATTTAATTATTTTAATTAATTTTGAAAAATATTTTTGTTTAAATAATTTTTTCTTTAATTATATAACAATTTTTATAATCATTTATCTGTATTTTTACAACTTAATTGAAATTTAATCCTATTTTGGACTGTTACTAATTAATTTAATTAATTTTCGATTTGTATTTCGTTTTAGAGCTTAACAAATTTTCGGATTCTTACAACAAAAACACACATAAATAATAAAGATGAGAAATGGTGAAGAAAAAAAATACCTTTACATTTGTTTGTTGTTTTATCTAAAATAGCCTTGGTTGAAATAATCGTTCCATATCTGAAATGAAAATATTACATTTAAGTTTTAATCAAATGTAATTGTAAAATTTATAATTTTTTATGCACATTATAATATAAAATTTTTGACTAGGTTTACATTATATTAGGTTGTCAAAAAAGTCTTACGGTCTTTCGCTAGTTGGCGCTGAGAGCGCGTAGTTCTAGTTTTAGTCGTCGCATCGGGTCATGCCATATACCTTTTTGGAAAGCTCATTTCACGCGCTAACACGTGTTTGATTGGAGCAAAATAAAGAGAAATTAAGGCATATTTTACAGTACTACTACGATAATGGCAAAAATGCATTTCAAGCCGCCAATAAAATTTGTGCAGTTTATGGACCCGATACAGTTTCCATTTCCACCGCATAACGATGATTTTCGTTCTGGTGTAGAGGTGGTCGAAGATGCGCCACGCTCCGGAAAGACCTGTCGTCGAAAATTGCGATAAAATCGCTGAATTGGTCGAAAGAGACCGGCATAGTAGCAGCCGTAGCATCGGTCAAGAGCTGGGCATRAGTCATCAAAAAAATTTTTATGAACAATTGAGAATTCAATAAAAATACCGCAAGACTTTTTTGGCAACATAATATTTAATGGGTTAGACGTGGATTTTATAAATAACTAATTCTTCTGCTAGACTCGTACTAAAATACCTGAATTCCCTACATTTATTAAAAGCATCGTCACTCCCGGTATACCGTTGTTGCTATTTTTGTTGTTGTTATAACGTTTAGCTAGTCTCTGTTAGTAATGTTCAGATAAGTTGCAATCGATGTCAATCCAGGGTAGGCCTAGGAAACGTGATGGTTCGACGGTGAGTCCGGGTATTATTTGATCAGATGGTATTTTGCCTTTCCGGTCAATAAAATGGAAATTACAGGAGTATCTGACTTTATGCGAGAACATAAAAAGGGCAGAAGTCAAAGAATAACAGTTATTATTGCTGCATAGGGCTGCACGTGGATTTTTGCAACAATTTATTGTCAATGCGATACTAATTGGCAAATAGGGGTTTAATTGCTCAAACTCACAGCAAAATATCAAAGCTCATAGAATTCTTTTGTCAACATAAATTTTGTTAATTCGTAATCTAATTTTTATGTGCATAAAAATCCAAAAAAATTCCACTTAAATCGACTCGTTATGATCATTCGATACTTACTGTGCACACATAGATACTAAATCCTTATCGGTTGTGCCTTGTTGCAATCCTCTAATATACAAATTTGTTTTTGACAATTGTTCACCTTGTTGCTGTGTACCGTTACTAGGACCCATTGTTGTATTTGTATTGGTATTACTCAGACTAGTACTTAAAGTTCCGCTCTGTGAGCCGGTGTTTGATGAGCTGCTCGAGTTCGTATTACTTGGCGATGCTGCAGTTGGTACACGCTGACCGTACTGAAAGTAAAGCAAAAGAGTGGACAAATAAGTAAAAGCAATTAAATAAGCACAAAAGTAAATGGTATAAAAAGTTTAAGAAATTTTAAAAATAAATACAATTTTTGAATATCATTTGTGAGTTCAGAATTTGCATAAGTATATGCGATATGTATTCTCATAAACTATAGACTTTGTGATACAAAAGCATTTAACTCATATTTGAAAAATATATATATTATATCACAAAATTACCCAAATAAGTTTTCAGTTCCAGATAATTACTTCTGAACTTACATTATAATATATTACAATCTCACTTAAATGATATACAGTGTATAAATTTTGCTTGTGAACTTTATGAATGAAGTTTTTTTTTATTAATTACGTTGTTTGTATTTATTTATTTTAGAGATAAAACTAATGAAGTGTTTTCTTCAATTTCATTACACTCACATTTAATTGACTTCCGCTGACTATGTATAACGTGCGAGAAAACACCTCACTGTGAGAAAAATACAGAATAACAATAAAATTACGTAGCTCATTTTAAGAGATACCTGATTAATAATTGAACACAAATTGGGTATTCTATTATACAAGTAGACGTAGCTATTGTATCATAATATATTTACTCTGATTTGCCGATTGAAGTATACTTGCGACGAGCTCTTTCTAAAAATTTCTCACGCACGAGCTCGCAAGGCTAATTGCGATGAGTTGAGGATTTGATACTTTGAAAAGTACACATATTATGAATGAATATTCAGTTTACCGAAAAAATAACAAACGAATAGGGTCATACAAAAAATGTACTATGTGATCAACGGCAGCAAATTCTCGAAAGATTTCTTGTACTTTCTAACAGAAAACCTGCGACTAAATATAAACACTTATCTACGAATATGTAGAAATGATTACATTAGTGAGTACCATAAAAAAAGGTTACTTTCATGCCATAATGATAGTTAAAACTCTTCAACATGTTAGAATACCTGCCTGTTTTTCCTTTATTACTTATTATAATACCCTTCACAAACGAACTTGATTGTGATCAATTAGATTGTATGACAGCAGCTATATGATATATAGGTCCGAAACGAATAATTTGTTCGAGGATTATACTGCTCTCTTCCAAATATCTTGCGAAATAAAAAAGTTCTCCAAACAAGAACTCGATTTGGATTTGTCAGTTTGAATGGCAACTACTGAGGTTTTTAATAGGGACGCTGCAGAAGTAGACCGATAGGTACAGTAGACGACGTCTAATTTTTCTGCTCTTTTGATATTTCTCTTCACTAATGTTTCATCGTGGAAAGATATGCGATCCAACAAGTTGAAATTATTAAAATTTTCTAACGAAATTCGGGTTCAGTGACCCCAACTTTAAGAGCGGTACGTCCAATTTATAGTCGTCATAATCGTTCTGTCAGATCAACAACTGAGCGTCTGTGAATAAACAGACACACTACAAAATGTTCCCCTGCCAGTGAGACAAAGAATTTCCCGTAGTGTCGAGAATATTACTGAAATACCTAAATCAGTGTCTCACACGTCGTTCTCAAGCATTGGACAGAGATGCCTCTGTGACGTCATTGTGACGAAATTCCCGAAAAGTTCTTGGCCTACATTCTTACAAGATCAAATGAAATCAGTAGACTATGTTCCAAGAACTGAAGCCGCTTGACCTCCAGAATCGTCGTATGTTCGTGAATTGGTCTGAGCAATAAGTAGAAAAATACCCGGATTTCTTCAAAAAATCTTCCTCGGTGATGAGGCTCAATTCTGGCTGAATGATTTCGTCCATGAGTCACCATAGCATTCCGAAAAAAATACGGTTTGGTACAGATTATGGGCCGGAGGCATAATTAGGATGTACTTCTTCCGTGCTGATCAAGACCGGCACGCTAATGTGAATGGGAATCGCTACGGCTCAATGATAACCGAATATTTTTGACCCGGTTTGGATGATATGGTTCCAACAGGATGGCGCCACAAGCCACCCAACAAGTGTCACATTCGATTTATTGAAAAAACGTTTAATGAACGTGTTATCTCACGAAATGTCCCAAGTAATTGGCTGAATAGGTTGTGCGATTTGACGCCTTTAGACTATTTTGTGTGGGGTTACGTCAATTCTATGGTCTACGTCAACAAGCCAGGAACGATTGATGAACTTCGTACGAATATCGAACATGAAATTGCAGCAGTATCGGCCGATTTATGCTTGAAAACCGTCGAAAATTGGGTTCAGTGTTTGGAAAGAAATCAAGTTCCATACATAATGGCATCGAATGTACCTTCGCCGGCATAAAGAATCTGATGTTTTACTCGGTTTATTATTTTAGAGTAGTCCACAAAATACTCTACCGTGATGCAACAGTGGTCCAACTCGTGTTTATATACTAGCATATTTCTACAACTAAAAACAGTTTTGAAAGTGTTTTCAGACTAGTAAGATATACCCATAGGCACTCTATGGAGTACTCCTAATAAAACGCAGAGCTGGATTATATGGTCGGGCATTAGAGCACCGCAATATCAATTTGGTTTGGAGTAGACTATGTTCGAAATACTTTTTCATTTACTCTTTATTTTGGCATGCTGGTAGTTCAACGTAAATACCATACATACTGTGAGCACGTAAACATTTCAGCTTTCTTCGAGACATTTTTGCACTTGTCATTGCTTAGAATGTTTTTGTTGCGCAAAGTTGATGCGCGTGTGCTATTTTATTCGCACACACTACATATAAGTAAATCCAGTATGATATCTGCTATACTATCAATACATATGTATACATGTGGGTGTGCGCAAACATGTATATTTGTATGGGTGTTTGCGTGCTTGTTTGCTGGCGTCACATAAAACTAAGTCAGCCGCCATCAGTGATATAATTTCATTATCAGAGAAGTTCATTGGCATGAAGAATGCGAACAACATGGAATGCGATCAAATGAATGAACAATAACAACAATAACAATAAATTGATAATTTTCTCTGTATATAAAATGTATATGTTTTCTTTTAGATAGCTGCTTGTAAAGAAATTTTATTGTTCAGAAGTATGTATGTAGCTATGGAATTTTTTATATAGTTCACTGTTATTTTATGTACATACTGAAATTTTTATACTATTATTAACATAAGTCAATTTAAAAAATTTATTTTTTTTTCAACCAAAATATACTAATTATTTACAAATATATTGTGACAAAGAAGTACCCGGAAATTGTAAATAAAATGCAAAATATTTTATAATTCATCAATATTTATATGTCACCTGCGAAATAATCCAGATGTAATACACACATATGCCAACAATTTTTGTAGTTTTCGAAACGCTTTCATAAACACTTTTTGTTATGGCCTTCAGCTTCTCCAGCGAATTTTGTTTTATCTCTTCGATCGACTGAAAATGGGGTCGCCGGAGCGGCAATTTCTGTTTGGGAAACAAGGAGCCGAATCTGGTGAATATGGTGGTTGGACCAAAGAGATCTGTTTACGGTACTCTTTTAGAAAAAATGCAGCTTTATAGGGACGAGTCGATCAAGAACGCATTTCATACCCAAAATCTCTACCAAACTCATTTGAACGGACTTGCGAGTGATGTCAAGCTCTCTTGCCATCTCTCTAACACTTTCCTGACGATTTCTAAGTACCATATTCTTCACATTCTTTAATATTTTCATCAGTTGAAGAGGTCGAAGGCCCTCTAAAACGAGTCATGTCTTCAATGATTTTTCGACCATCTTTGAAGGCTTTGCACCACTCGTAGGATTGTGTTTTTGAATCATCGTAAGCCTTTTACAACGATTCCGCATACGAAATTTGACTTGAAATACAAAATTTGAGATAAATTCTCAGCTCAACAGTATTTAGTTGCTAATGGACAGTGCTGCCATATTCTTACAAGCAATGAATTTCGAACTTATAAGCTTAACTTCAATTAAGATTAAGTTAAGTTCAATGGCTGATACCCAAGATAAGCGTTATACTTGGACTGTTAAAGACAATTTCTTTTTAAGTTAGAAATCTTCTATAGTTGCGTCTCATGTGTTTATGAGCCTAATAAATCTGGATAAATGAATGTATGAAGGTCTACAACCCTAAGTGTGCTTGGTTTGTTATCACAGAGGTTTGAGAGCCGAGAAGGATATATTTAGATGATTTTATTAAGCAAATTCTGATTTGGAAAAGATCGGTTAAATTCTTGACCACGTGGAAACGGAAATATTGCTGATGGTGAGAAACCAACCTTGGGTTAGAAGTGTCGTTCGACTTTAAATATAAGCGGTAGTCTACGTATTTTCCAATGCTTCCAACAAAAGCCTTACAAAATATAGGGTTTTTCAATAGGCTAGTACAAAAGTTGACCGATATGGAGAGTAAACGACGCCATATTTGTTCCCGCTCTTTTGAAATTTCTCTTCATTCAAGTTTGCCATACGATCCAATAACGAGTCAAAATTATTGAAAATTGACTACCGAAATTCGGAGTCAGTGGCCAGCTGAGTCGATTTAGTCATGTCCATCCATCTATGTTCTTTATTCCTGAAATTCTGCAATTGTTGTTTTTTCCCAAGAAGCTGCTTATTTGTCAGAACCGCCGATTTTCATTTAACAAGATATCTTCAGGAAATTCGGCATGGATTATTATCTAAAGCAACGCTATAATCTTCGACAGAGTTGACCAAAACAAAATTAAATTCGGGAAAGTTGAAAAAAAGTTACAGCTGTTCAAAAATGAGTGAAAATAATGAGGAAATTCGCTGTATTTTGAACCTTTTTGTATAAAAAAGGAAAGAATACCACGAAAGCCACCTATGTATATCAGTTCGTGTAGCACAACAATGTCTCTGGAAATTTCGAAATTTCTATTTACACTGATGGAATAATATCTCCAGCGAAAAAGCGGCAAAAAATGGTCGACCAAATGGTACTTATTTGTTTATTTATTTATTAGAATAAATATAAAAAAACAAGTTGAAGTATTTATATATAGTATACAGGCCACTAAT